TGCTATTTAGCATTATTTAGCTGTCTAGCTCATCGCATCCCTGTAGCTCAGCCGCACACACTCGACAGAGCCGATGAGGTGGAACATGCTCTATCCCAATTACATCAATTCAAAGAAGACGGTGCAGGAGGGTCGACGGATCGCAGCCGAGAAGGCCGGAATGAAGCCAGACAGAAAGTCAGACCTATCTTCTGGGACCATCAGATTTACGTTTGTTTTGGAAGACCATTTCCCATTCTGACATTGCTGAGTAAGATATGAACATTAGTAAACAGCTAGTCTGGAGTCTCTTTGGCAGCGCATCTTTTCCTATTTTCAACGCATTCAATTGTTTTTAGAAGGCTTGCGAGCACCCTCGAGCATTTGAGATGGCCGAGATTTGTGAGTCTCTTGGTGGAACAGCAGCTTCGTGTTTGGGTGCGTAAAAACAGCTCTTTATGTTCTGTCAGACTCTTTCACATGTCCATCATATTCCAACATGACATAGACTCAGAGTCCGCAAGCCTTGGCATCTCACATTTGCGTGCCGGTTTCTTCATGGCCGACCGGAGCAAGGTACCTGAAGATTCCGCACGTGTGTGAGCCAGACAAGGCTCGTCGTGGCAGGTAAGCAAAAAGGACATGACTGACAATCTGGTTCTAAATGCAAGAGCATATTACAAAGTCTTTGGGATGCTGGGCACTTGTCTTTGTCTTCAAGACTGCCTGTGTGAAGACAAAACATGGGGCCACGCTTTGGGAAAGTTCAATGGTTTTCGGCATACAATGCGCCGAGGCATATCCCCGAGATTGGCTCATTAGAGGACGTGTACGCGTTTTGCAGGGAACCCTGGTTGCTCAAGCATGTTGGAACGATTGGAGCCAGGTCATGCGACATTGGTTTGGTTTCATTGCGGGTGCCCACGAGGAAAATTCATTGAAAGCCGCCACTCGCCACACTCGCCACACTCGCCACACTCGCCACACTCGCCCCTACTTGCCCCGCGCTACTAGCAAATTAAGTAAAATCCGCCACTCACCCCACTCGCCCCACTTGCCTTGGTAGGAAAACTCCGCTTGCCCCACTAGCCCCGCTTGCCGGCGGATGGGGCGTAAGCAGGGCAAGCAGGCCACTGGGGGCAAGTTGGGCAAGCTGGGCAGGCTGGGCAAGCGGGAAGAACCAGAGATCTTCCATTGGCTTGCAAGTAGGGCAAGCGGGGCAAGCGGTTCAAGAAGGAAGATTCACTTATCTCCCCCACAAGCAGAGCAAGCGGGTCAAGTGGGGCAAGCGGCGGGATAGGGGTCCAAAAAATATTGTTTTCTGGATAAAACAAATCTGGACTGGATCAAACAAAATTATTCCGGATCAACAAAAATCAATATTGTATGTTTGAATAGGGTAGAAGGAGGACAAGAAAGAAAGAAAGAAAGAAAGAAAGAAAGAAAGAAAGAAAGAAAGAAAAGAAAGAAAGAAAGAAAGAAAGAACAAAAGAAAGAAAGAAAGAAAGAAAGAAAGAAAGAACAATTGCAGCTACACTTACCATTCCACAACCTACAACTACAACTACACCTACAACTACACCTACAACTACAACGGCAACTGCAACTTCAACTGCAACTACAGCTACAACTACCACTACACTACAACTACAACTACAGCTGCAACTACCACTACCAGTAAACTACACTACAACTACAACTTCAACTACAGCTACAACTACATTACACCACAGCTGCAACTACACTACAACTACGTACAGCTACAGCTACAACTCCAACTCCTCAACCACTACAGCTAGTACAATTAACTACAATTACAACTTCAACTACAATTCAACTACAAGGTGCACGACCTTTCATTGGCCGTGGTACTATCTGCATGCTGAAATCTCAAGAAAGTGTCTGGCGTTGTGGCGCCGTATCAATTTTGACATCTTAGGTGTGAAAATCAGGGTTTTGGATTTTCACAAAACTACTTTTTTGCACATCATCTGCGTGTCTGAAGTTCCAAGAACATGTTAGAAGCGTAGCATCAAGAGCGTGTCTGAAGTTCCAAGAACATGTTTGAACAAAACAAAGAAGCGCGCGACAAGAATGTTATTACACCCCCCCCAGCTTTTTTTGGTTTCGACCTAATACCTACGTGGGTACATGCATGAGTATTGAGCGCATTTATATGCGCCCTTCAAGGCTCAAGAGGTATATACAGAGTAACCCTGTGGACACCACACCGACTGGCAATACGCCGTGAGTAAAAGGGTGTGACGCTGTCTTGGGAAGACGCCCTAGCTGATCTATACTAGACGCTAGTGTCCCTCTTCAAGTGGTAGCGGAGCTGTGATCCTTCATTGAAGGTGAGCTCCAGGTAGAGCCCGAAATGTCTCGCCATGGCTATGATGATGATGATGATGATGATGAATTCGACTTTGTCGATGCAGATGGATGGAATCAATATGACTCCTATGCAATGAGAAGAGCACCTCAGCAGCCCTCATTCCATATGACGCAGCAAATGACCACGAAGGTAGCCCCTGCATATGATGGGAGAACCAGCTTCTTTGCACTTGAAGATGCCATTGATGACTGGTGTGACATCACGGAGCTAGAACCTGAGAAACGTGGACCAGCTTTGAGCTTTGAGAAATCGACTGGAAGGAGAGGCTCAGCAATACAAGAAGTTATTAGATAGAGAAATGCTCAGGGATCCCCATGATGGAGTCAACTACTTCAAAAGATTTCTACGACCTCATTTCATCAAAGGTGCCCAAAACGTGTTCTTATACCGTTTCATGCAGTTCATGAAGTACAACAGAGGAACCATGGATCTTCTGAAATGGATAACTAGATTTCAACTGACTGGAAACAGACTTTTTGAGTCTTGGATGGATGTGATACCAGACCTGTTGATTACTAGCCCAGAAGCAATCCTGTATGTTCAAACTCAACGACAAGATCGTGAACGAGATCAAAATGAACGAGCACAAGTTGCAGCAGCTACTCCAGGCGCGGATCCTCATGTCATTATCCCCTGGACAGATGAAATCGCCTTCGTGGCATTCAGACAACTCAATGAGAACAGACGACAACAGTAGAGACAGGCATTCCCTTTGGGAGAAAATTTGCTAGCATTGATTTTTGTAAGTCTAGCAGACCTGACTGAAGATCAGAGAAATACGCTCACACGTATCATGCCACATCGTGGTCGCACGCTCGATCAGTACAATATGCAAGAACTCAGAGATCTATTCTTGGAAATGTTTCGCACTACAAAGACGGCAGTAGACAATCCAATGATGCAACGGTCAGTCCCTCGCTTAGGCCGCCTTAGGCCTACGTTTTTTCTCGCTTAGGACTATGTTTGTGATATATGACTACAGTATCAATAGAAACATAAATAGATGTCTTTGAACATGACTTCAACAGGCTTGTACATGTGTGACAGAGATGATCATCAGGACATTTTCATTCAATCATATGAGTAAGAAGATGTTATAACGTATCAGGACTGTATTTCAAGTGCCTTGAAGGTGAGTTTAGAACGTATCCGTATCGGGAACATTTTGCAAGTTACTTGAGGTACCTAATACATCGTATTAGGAACATCTTGCATGTTACTGGACGAAGGTGTTACAACATACCAGGAACATCAGTCAAGGTTCTTGAAGAAGCTGTGACAACGTGCCAGGAACCTCTTGCAAGTTACTTGCAGAAGATTTCACAACGTATCAGGAACGTGTTGCAAGTCAGTTGAAGAAGATGTTACAACGTATCAGGAACATCTGGCGAGTTAGTTGAAGAAGAGTTTACAACGTATCAGGAATGTCGCGCAAGTGACTTACAAGTAGGAAGATGTTGCAACGTATCAGGAACGTCTTGCATGTTACTTGACGAAGATGTTACAACATATAAGGAACATCATTCAAGTTACTTGAAGAAGATGCGACAACGTATCAGGAACGTCGTGCAAGTTACTTGAAGAAGATGTGACAACGTGCCAGGACCGTCTTGCAAGTTACTTGCAGAAGATTTCACAACGTATCAGGAACATCTGTCAAGTTAGTTGAAGAAGAGCTTACAACGTATAAGGAACGTCTTGCAAGTTACTTACAAGTAGGAAGATGTTGCAAGTATCAGGAACGTCTTGCATGTTACTTGACGGGAAGATGTTGCAACGTAGCAGGAAGGTCTTGCATGTTACCTGACGAAGATGTTACAACATATTAGGAACATCATTCAAGTTACTTGAAGAAGATGTGACAACGTGCCAGGAACGTCTTGCAAGTTACTTGCCCAAGATTTCACAACGTATCAGGAACGTGCTGCAAGTCACTAGAAGAAGATGTTACAACGTATCAGGAACATCTGGCAAGTACGTTGAAGAAGAGTTTACAACGTATCCGGAACATCTTGCAAGTTAGTTACAAGTAGGAAGATGTTGCAACGCATCAGGAACGTCTGGTATGTTACTTGACGAAGATGTTACAACATATCAGGAACGTCGTGCAAGTTGCTTGAAGAAGATGTGACAACGTGCCAGGAACGTCTTGCAAGTTACTTGCAGAAGATTTCACAACGTATCAGGAACGTGTTGCCAGTCACTAGAAGAAGATGTTACAACGTATCAGGAAAATCTGGCAAGTTATTTGAAGAAGAGCTTACAACGTATAAGGAACGTCGTGCAAGTTACTTATTAGCAGGAAGATGTTGCAACGTATCAGGAACGTCTTGCATGTTACTTGACGAAGATGTTCAAACATATCAGGAACATCATTCGAGTTACTTGAAGAAGATGTGACAACGTGCCAGGAACGTCTTGCAAGTTGCTTGCAGAAGATTTCACAACGTATCAGGAACGTGTTGCAAGTCACTAGAAGAATATGTTACAACGTATCAGGAACATCTGTCAAATTATTTAGTTGAAGAAGAGTTTATGTATAAGGAATGCCTTGCAAGCTACTTACAAGTAGGAAGATGTTGCAACGTATCAGGAACGTCTTGCATGTTACTTGACGGGAAGATGTTGCAACGTATCAGGAACGTCTTGCATGTTACTTGACGAAGATGTTACAACATATCAGGAACATCATTCAAGTTACTTGAAGAAGATGTCGCAACGTGCCAGGAACGTCTTGCAAGTTACTTGCAGAAGATTTCACAACGTATCAGGAACGTGTTGCAAGTCAGTTGAAGAAGATGTTACAACGTATCAGGAAAATCTGGCAAGTTAGTTGAAGAAGAGTTTACAACGTATCCGGAACATCTTGCAAGTTAGTTACAAGTAGGAAGATATTGCAACGTATCAGGAACGTCTTGCATGTTACTTGACGAAGATGTTACAACATATAAGAAACATCATTCAAGTTACTTGAAGAAGATGTGACAACGTATCAGGAACGTCCCTAAACCCACCCCATGTCCCAGCCCCCAAGTGTCCCCTAAACCCACCCCAAGTGTCCCCAAGTGTCCCCTAAACCCACCCCAAAACCCACCCCATGTCCCAGCCCCGTGTCCCCAAGTGTCCCCTAAACCCACGTGCTTTTGTTGACCTTCCCAAACAAAATGAACGACATTGAACGACCAGATGATGCCATGGCATGGATGGCATGGCCTCCAAGCTTGCCTTGAATGCTTCTTGTAGTTCGGAGCGATCCTTTCCGAGTGCAACAGTCTGACAACGGTGATTCAAACTGCCAAACTGCGCTCCCGGAACAGGAAACTTCTAACTTTGATGCCCAAAACCATCCAAAACCAATGGCATCCATTGGCATTTCGCATGGCCCCATGGCCTTCCAACCAAGTGCAGTCCATGTCCCATCTGGACTGGCTTGCAGTACTGCCTC